ACCCTCAACGAGATGGATTGGCCAAGTGGCAGCATCGATGGATTCAAGCGTGGCAACAGTAGTGAGATTGGCCCAGGATCAGGCAGTGTTTCGTTCTGCTGTGCATAAGGTCGCTATGGGTCGGTACTGACTCGATGGCACCTAACAACAACAACAACAAAGCAGTGTAGTGGGTTTACATGTTGGGCTGCTAACTGCAAGGTCAGCAGTTTGAATCTACCAGCCACTTTGAAGGAAAAAGCTGAGGTTTTCAGCTCCTGTAAAAGTTTACAGCCTCCGAAATCCTAAACAGGGTCACTATGAATCAGAACCAACTCCATAGCACATAACCACCACCACCATCATATATATATATATATATACAATTTATGGACCCCCCCATTAAAAAAATTATACTGTCAAGTCAAAAAAAGGTGTAACACATATATGACTCCATGTATAGAGAGTTCAAGTAAGTTCTGAGAAAAACTGACCTAGGGTGACATAAGTTGAATAGTGACCTCTGAGTGGTGACATCATTGACAGGGAAGTTATCAAAGGTCATTTATGAAGTGCTGGGATGCTCTATACTTCAGTAGGGCGGGATACACTGCAATACAACAGCCCATTGCCACCCAGTCGATTCCAACTCATAGCAACTCCACCTACAGGACAGCGTAGAACAATCCATAGCATTTCTAAACCCATAATCTTTACAGACGTTGAATGCCTCAGCATTATCCCATGGACTGCCTGGTGGGTCCAAAAAGTGCTTAATCACTGCTCATGTTATGAGCCACTGAGTTGGTTCTAGCTCATAGCAACCCTGTAAAGGGTTTCCAAGGAGCAACTGGTTGGGTTTGAATCACCAACATTGTGGTTGATAATCAAGTACTCATCCTACCGCACCACACCAGGATTCACATACGTAAAATTTGACCATTTATGTACTTGGATCTATGTGAGGTTTTTGTTGTTGTGTTTAATGTTTTATTGTGAATTTTGTGATAGTTTACATGGGAGAATAATTAGTTTTACATTCATCCTATCGTATCATTTCATTGCCATGATCACAATCCCCTCCATGCATCATCAACCAACCAAAAGGTATACCCTGCAAGCCTGCCCCCCAGATGTCAGCATACAGCCCCTCTCAGACCTCTCTGGGCCTAGAGTCCCCAGCCACTCCATCTCTCCATGCCAGTCTCTGCCTCTATCTCTGGCATCATGCTTCTCTGGGTAGGGTCCTGCTCTCTGCTCTTCTCCTTTGATGGTCCCAGGGCTCTCTGCTCCTAGACTGCAAAGTCAACCACTCCCTTCCTTTTGCTACAAAATGTCT